AGGCTCTTTTCCTTGCTGCCTGACCCCTTCCCCCCATCCTTCTTTGCTTCCAAAACCCTATCTCCATCCCACTGCTCAGGGAGTGCTTTGATTGTACTTTTCCTGCAGGACAGAAGGAAGTTGAACTGGATGGCCCCTGGGGTTGCTATTATTATTATTATTATTATTATTATTATTATTATTATTATTATTATCATTACAACAAAGGCTGGATGGCCATCTGTTCAGGGTACTTCATTCTTTTCCAGAATGGCAGAAGGAGGTTGGACTGGATGGCCCCTAGAGTCCTCCACTCAAATACTGTTAAATTTATGTTGGTTAAAATTGTTTTGAATGTTAAATATTTTATTGTTCTTTCTTCTTTTTTTGCACTACAAATGAGATATGTACTGCTCATTTTTTTCAATTAGTTCACACAAATACTCTCCATCCATCTGCTACTGCCTGGCCCATCTGTCAAATTGTAAAATGCAGTGTGGCCCCTTTGTTCAAAAGTGTGCCCCTGTGCGTGCGCGCGCACACACACACACACACACAAATTATATAATATATAACATATACATTTATATAATATATACATTTATATAATATAAACATTTATATAATATCAACATTTCCTGGGGCTCCATGAGAAACTTTTGCTTCAAAAAGGGTTCAGTGGCTGAAAAAGTTTGTGAATCCCTGTTCTAGGGAGTGTCAGTTAATATGTCTTTGACCTATATCATACAAATCCATATGCTTCATCACAGTCACCAAATTATTTGAATGGGGCCAATTCAACAACAGTGTCCAAGTTATGGATTACTCATAGATATCTGAAGATTTTTGTCTATAATTTCACGCTGATGTGGTATTAGGGGTTGTGCAATAGCGATTAGAATGTGGAAGGATGGGTGCTTTGCCTTGTAATTTGTACATATATAATGTGTTTGGGAATGGCATTTAATTTTGTTGTACGATGTACAATGGCAATAAAGTTACTCTTCTTTTTATTTTATTAAATGTACAAAGTAATTCAGTGTTGGAAGTTATTATGTAAATCCAAGATAAAATCATAGTGATCAGAAAAATGTAGGATAGCATAATATAGCAATGACTAGTGGTAAGAGCAACATTTAGCTTTTGAGAAAAAGTTATGATCGTGAGTGAAGACTATGTTTCTTAAATGGATATTGGCCATCTTGTATATGATTTTGTAATGCATAATATGCTAATTTCTTTATAAAATACTTCATTTAACCTTTTCTCCTATTAGTTTTGTAAGACTTTACCAGAAAGGATTAAGTTGTTGAATACTTATTCTCACTGATCTCTGCGTTGTGACTGTATATGTAGTTGATTGGTTGAAATTTGGAATTGAACTTTATTTCTCACATTGCCTTTTTCAATTCTTATATTTAATATATTATGGCACAAAATGTTACGTAACCTTGTTATACTTTTTGTTATGTTATTTATTAGAAATCATATAATACTGTCCACCTTGAAGCTTCAGAGCAGAGTAATATAATATACTATAATAGTGTCTCCTATATATGTCCGTGATGAAAACATTTTAAAATCTCTTTTCTTAGCTATCTTCGACCTGTCTCTTTACAGACTTTTCAGCTTTCCATAGTTCCCATTAGAAGACTTTTATTGCCACCAACCTTTATAGATTCATTTTCCCCCCTGATTCTACTGAAGACTGTCCCAGTTCACCTAATTTATAGCAGTTATCCTGCTATCCTGGTATATTTTCATTTCCCATCCTGACTGTTACAAAGACCCAGTACTCACCTTTTCTGTAGCTTTTTACTCTGGACTTTTCAGCAGGCTCCGGTGATCTGCCTGCACACTTCATTAATAAATTATAGTCTTGACTCATTGCCTTTGAAAGCATTATTGTTTCTGTGAAAATCTGAAGAACATGAACTATCCTATGCACCTCTCTAACTATATGCCTATCTTGCTAGTGCGTCATAATGGTTTGTGGTATCTACTAGTAAATATCCAATGCAGGCACCCAATTAGATATATCTGTTTTCTATGAAACCAAGATTTCAAAAGTACCATACTTTCTGGTGTATAAGATGACTGGGTATATACAACAACCTTCAACTTTTCCAGTTAAATCTAGAGTTTGGAATATACTCACTCTATAAGACTACCCCTCTTCCAATGCATGCTAAATAAAAACAATTTAAACATCAGATTTGATTTCAATATGGTTATTTTCCTATTGCCATTCCTCCTTCTCTGTGCTGCTTCACAGCAGTCCTCAGGAATGAAATCTGAGAGGCAAAAAAGGAGGTAATAGGATACAAGGGTGGGCCAGACGGGTGAAAGAGGCATGTTTTTTTCTGGGCACAGCATTGCTCTATCCCTTTTTTCCATACTCCGGTCGTTCCAGATGCCTGCAGCTTGTTCTGTCCTTCACTTACACCTTCCTGGTGATACACCCCCTCACCTCATCATCGGCAGTGTGTTAAGTCACTTCTTTCCACAAATCCTGGTGAGCGGATTTTCTTCTACCGTATTTGTACAGCACTACCCTTGCTACTTCCATACGGTCACCACATATGGCAATGATGTGGCTAAAGCCATTTTTGAGATCCCTCACCATATGCATAACTGCAGAGCCCCCAGTCTGGCTCGGAAGTTTCAGCACCTGCCCTATAAGATGACACCCAATGTATAAGATGATTCCCGTCTTTTCAGAAGATTTTCCTGGGTTAAAAATTAGTCTTATAGGCCAAAAAATACAGTATATAAAATTAACCTAAAGCTAAAACTTTTTCCAAATTATAAAGTTGATTTCTGTGGTGGGGTAATTAACTTAATAAGGACAAAAAGACAAATCTGAATCCTCACAGTGCTCACAACATGATAGACAATACTGTAGCAGTGACAAATTTTGGCTTATGGGTATGTCTGAGTGCAATTTTACATCTATCATTTGGTAAATATGGAGTGATATCTTCTAAAGAACTAATCATTTAAAAGAAAATACAGCCATAATTCCTCTACAAATATATTTCTTTATTGTAATTCATCACAAACTTTTGAGTATTTGCAAACTCAGCTTGAAATAATTGGCATTGTTATCAATTATTTGGATGATCTGTTCAACTCAAGTGACTGTGAATAACTTATAGAGGCATCCAGAGAAGAAAACATGCTGCCCTCCTAGCCAAAATGGACAATTCACAAACAGGTTCCTGTTGGAGGTGCAAAACAAAGAAAGGGACTATTTTTCATGTATGGTGGTCTTGTGAACTGGTGCAGGTCTATTGGAAAAGAATAATAAAGGAAACAAATAAAATGATTCACAACAAAGTAAAAAAAAAACCAGGGATGGGCTTAATAGGGATATCAGAGATAGATTAGAACAACCAGAGAGAGAAGTTTGTTTGTACAGCTTTGCGGCTGCATGCATTACAATTGTCAAAAATTGGAAAAGGGAGAAAACATTAAGCATCAAAGATTGGAAGGATAAACTGTGGGATTATACACATATGGCTAAGATTTGTAGCAATTTGAAATATGAAAATCATGAAATATTTGAAAGAAACTGGAAGTTGGCCTTAGCATACTTGACAGGAGAGCTAAAAAAATAAAAACAAGAGGAATTTATTGAATTAGAAGTATAAAGGGTTAAACAAGTCGTGCATAAATCCTCCGGGGATAAGTGATGGAAGCCAAGGTGGTGGGTAGCACTGGAGGTGGGTTGAGGGGTAACTGTACTGTGGGTTGCAGGTTGTCTATATATGTGTATGTGTTTGTGTATGTGTATATTTATGCAATGTATATGGTTGGTGTATTATCTTTTTGAAATAATTTTCTTTAAATTAAAAAAAAAGAAAAGAAAACATGCTGCAGAGCTGTAAAGGCATTTAGGCCATGGTGCCATGGTGGAAGGGGTTGAAGAGGGGTCTGCTGATTTCTCCCCTACTGCTTTTTTAATGTTCTATCATGGAAATCACTAGGAAAATAGGAATAATTCAGTGGTGTCAACATAATCAAAGGATTTGTTCCTCAGACATCATGTCAACATGAAAGGACTTTCATCTAGCACAGTGGTATCAAACCTGTGGTAGTTGGTGTTTGGGACTTCTGCTACTAGAATTCCTGTTGATTGGACAAGCTGTCTAGGACTTCTGGGAGCTGGAGTCTGAAACATCTAGCAAGACTTTAACTGCTCTATGCATAGAATATTTGTTTAGGTACTTGCCCATGGTAGTAGACATATGTATGTAAGGTTTTTTTTTTACATACCATTTATGTGATATACCATATTTACTCAAGTCTAACACTCACCTTTTCTAACTTAGGGCCCTCCCACACAACCATATAACCCAAAATATCAAGACAGAAAATCCCACAATTGAATTAGGTATCTGAGTCCACACTGTCATATATTCCAATTCAAAGCAGAAATGTGAGATTTTATTAAGTTGTGTGGAAGGGACCTAAATTACATTGTTAAAATTGAAGTGCGCATTGATGGCATATTAGAATCATTTATCTAAACCTGTCTGCACTCTTGGGCAATAGATCCCAGCTCAAGACAGAGGAGGGATTGACAGTGGTGCCATCAAAAGCTTGGTAAGAAGCAGATGGTGGCTGTCAAAAGGCTGGTGGGAAGGCCAGATAAAGGGGTACAGCTTCCCACCAGCCTTTTTGTAGCCACCACCATTATATTTGATAGCTTATTCTTTTCTTTTTTTGTAATGTGCACCTTCAAACTTGAGGTGTGTTACATTCAATGGCACATTATACTCTAGTAAATTCAGTATATGTTTTGCATTGCAGATGAGTATCCTTTCTGTTAGAAGCATCCTAATCATTTCTGCATGATTGTCCAAGAGTGTCATGATTGTCCTTCCTATCCACCTATACCTATCAATCTATGCCTATCTTTTCATCTGTTTAAAAGTATGGCACTTAAAGAACACATGTTACATCACTATGATATAAAACAAAGTTAATGCTTTTTGTTATATCAATTTGTTTAACAGACCAGATCCAGTATTATGGACCAAGGATGGTGGAGAATTACCAGACCCAGAAAGAATGATTGTCAACGGTAGGGAGCTAAACATTCATATGCTAAATAAAACGGACAATGGTACATATCGATGTGAAGCAGAAAATTCTATTGGCCTAAACAGCGCAGAGTATGTTCTGATAATACGTGGTGAGTAACGTCTTCTCTCATTTAAATGATGGTGTGCAATGACATGTGCTTTGATAAATTTGTTTGGCTTTGTTTAGCATTATTTTTATCCTACCATTCTACAGTTGGCTGTGTTTTACTTTTAGTGTATCATTCAGTTTAAGGCTCTTGGTTGAGTCTATTTATCAGGTCATAATTTCCCAAATGTGCTTGATGGAAGGTGCTTTCATAATTGAATAAATAACAGAGACAGGATCTAATTGTAAGTTCTGAATAAAATATATTGTTTTCTGACATCTCATAATATCATGTTACTACTTCAAAATGTGTTCCATACTGAAGCACAAATATAAAATGAGAAGAAAAAGATAGAGTGGGTTTATTAAGTACCACTATAATTGCCACCAAAAATACAGTTAATACAAAATTCATCATTGTGGTAGTAAAGAAAGAGGGAGAAGCCATATTTTTAGCTTTGATGTTTGCAACTAATATCAGTTAAAAATGTTGATTGCAAACTGAATTAGTTACTTACACTATGTTCCTGGAGCAATACAGGCAAGAGATTGGCTTCTCAGTTGCAGCCAATCATATATTTTCAAAAACGAAAATACCCTATTGCAGGCCTGCACAACCTGTGGCCCTCCAGCTCCCAAAAGTTCTAGCCAGCTTGTTCAATGGTCAATAATTATGTGACCTGGAGCCCAAAAACCTGGAGGACTTCAAGTTGTGCAGGTCTGCCCTATGGCTTCTCCACTGCAGTGTGGATTGTTAGGTTGAATAAAATGTGTCCCAATCCTTACTTTCCAGCTCTATCTCCCTCTTTTCTTTTTCTTTTTCTTTTCTTTTCTTTTCTTTTTTTCCTTTTTTTTTTGCAACCTAGTCTGATGAAGCACAATTTGTAGCTTTTCGGTTTGTTCCAAGCAAAGTATTGCTTACTTCTGGATTGTTCAGCAATTTATTTCCATTATGGACCAATATGGATACATGTATTTTTGTCGTGACAGAAATGCTAACTTATAGATCAGTCCATGCTGTCTACAAATGAAGCAGCAAGATGTTTCTTATATTTAAAGAACTGAATCTGTAAAAGCTGAACTCTAGCTGAACCTGCAAAGGAGCGTGGGTCTGTTTTGCTACAACTGGAGAACTTTTAAGAACATTATGCTGACTTAGAAGTGTAAAATTGCAACCAAGGAAACATTGTGGGCCTTGTCTGTGGTCTCATAAAAATTCAGGCATGAAATAGGATTGAGATCCCTGCTATTTCTATAGTTTGAAAGGAAAAGTTTGAGGAAAGCAAGCAATATGTTCTGATAGTTGAGAACATGAGAAATGATGAAATGTGATAAATTCGGAAACACATAAGCCCCATGTTTTCTTACTTTGAAAATAATAGAATATACATTTGTCTTGATTCCTCTCTTTAAAGTATTACAGAAAAAATATGTATGCAAACATTAAATAGTAGGTTATTCTTATTAAAATTCTTGATGGTGTCATGTGGAGAATTTCCATTTGGTGATACAAGATCCCTAGCAGTGTATTTTTCTGGGTTCAGGTTACCTCTATCTGATTTGTTCACATTGTGCCAAAGCAATTTCTCAATTGCACTTTCTTATTTGCAATTTTGCCTCTGTTTTAAACTGCAATTTATCAAAGCCAGCTCATGGATTAATGTTACTCATGCCACTAGGTAAATACTGTAAAATATTGTTAGTCCTCTAAGTATTAGGGATATAAGTAATGATAGACATTGAAATTTGGAAATTAACTACATCAGTTTCCTTCTTCCATAGATAGATAGAACGATATGATAAAATGTAATCCTACTAAAGGGTTATTTAAATGATCACCTTCTTCCATACAATCTTAGGTCCTCCCACATATACTTAGGTCCTCTGATGGACATATACACCAGCCTGCCAGAACCCAGCTGGCAATCACCATCTAGAGGACCTTTTCATCAGCTGCCCTAAGACTATGGAACAACGTGTTGGAAAAAGTCTGACAGCTAAATGAGCTGTTGGAATTCAAAAAAACATGTAGAGACCTCTCTCTTCCTGCAGGGATACCCAGACAGACTTTAAGCATGGATTTTAAATGTGTGACCTTTGCTTAATCTCTATTTTGTGTCTTTTAATATGTATTTTATAGAAAGACATTTTAATATGTAGCTTTTATAGAAATGTGTTTTAATATGTGCATTTGTAGTGTTTTTGCGATATTTATGTGTTGATTGTTCTGTGACCCGCCTTGAGCCATGAGGAGAAGCGGATAAGAGATAAAACTATTCTTATTGTTATTATTATTACTACCAGTCCTGAATATTATCCCCAAATATTTTGAAATACTGTTCTATGACATGCTGGATAATTATGTGATATCTTATTTTGTTCTCTTTAGAAAGTACTTTTCTTTAAAAAAAAACAAGAATAAAGTAGCTTATAAAACAACTTGCCAATGTACCAATATAGCCAAAACAATAATAAAACAAGAACAGTTAGAAAATAATATAAATTTGGTTAAGGGACAGTATTCTGAAACAGATTTCAGAAAACAGCTCTACAAATAGACACATTTATATTCTTCAAATATTAGAAAATAGTTGCATTTAATTCCTTTATAGTGTGAAGCAAGGCTATTTAATGACACTGGGGTGCCATATACTGATTACCAGAAATCCTGTGGTGAAGCAGGATGAATTGGGTCTATGAGAACATTGCACACACTTTTAAATAAATGTATAAAGCACTCTACTTTTCTGCTTCTCATAGACCCCCCATAAAAGCCAGCAGAGTTATTCAAGCTCATTAGTGGGGAGGAAGGAGAAACAATGTTAGGATTCAAATAGACTTGATGGCTGGTATATAGAACCATCAATCTTTAAAATGCATGTAATGCTTGTTTCTCCATTTTCCAAGGCCATGTGACACCAGCAATGCATTGTAACACATGAAAAACTTAGTCCGCTCATTAAAAAAAAGCTTTACGAAATCAAAAATTAGAACTTTATGAAAAAAAATTAAAATGCTTGATTATCTCTTTTTCTATACCATTACAAACTGTTTCTTTCAGATGGATATGCTATGAGCTTCTCACCCCTACCCCTTTAAAAAAGAGTCACTTGCTTGCACCAATTGATTTGATTATCTGGTTCAATGAGAGTCAGAGATATGCTTCATTATTGAGATTATGTTATGATGGTTAAGTTTGATTATTTGGTAGCCTGTGCTTGCACATCTTTCATATTATCTAGTTGAAAGCTGGCCTTGCTGACATTTTCCTGTAATGCATAGTGCAGATTTTTCCTAATTAAATTTCTGCAAATATAGATACAGAACCACAGAGGGTAATTGCATGCAAGTGCATATATATATATATATATATATATATATATATATATATCTGTAACACTGTGTGACTTCTAAAACAGGATGGTGCTGCTGAATGTTCCAGCAGAGGTTTCTTTTGAAAAAAATTATCTAGTGTTTAGTAGCTTTTGAGATCAAATATTTCTTCAGTATAGTTTGATTATAAAGATAATTTTTGACAATTTCCCGTTCTTCCTTTTGATTAGATGTATAGCTTTATGAAGTGCACCAAGCGGGATAGAATCCCCCCCCTTTTTTTTTTTACTTTGTAGCTTGAAAATTGAAGGAAGGGTTATGCCATTTAATAGAGGGCATAGATTTCCTTATCTTCATTTTGCACAAAAATTGTCTCTAGCATTTAATATATTCCTCCAGTGCACAGTTAATAACCACCCTGCTTGGGGAAGAGAAATTATTATCATCTCTCCCCCCTCCCCCCCCCCACTTGTGAGTTGAATTTAGAAGGATGAAGAAAATCAGAATGGAGGTAATTTCCAAATTTATGCCAAAATATTTATAGGGGTTAAACAGAATTGGTACTGTGCCACTTACGTTAACATTTTCCTGTTCGTAACATGACATTCCAAGGAGAAGCAAAGTTTCCTTGGATTTTCTGTTGAACCTGACAAATCTTATAAAGGCTGAGTGAATGGGAGGGAATAAATACCAGGAATTTGGCATGAGGGGGGGGGGAGGACCAGAGGGAACTTGCTGGCATGTTAATAATTGTGTATTCTTCTGCTTACACTTTGGTGTTCATAACTGGGTTGCTTGAGTTTACTAATTTCTCTTTGATGAAGACATGGGGTCCTTCCACACAGCCATATAATCCAGAATATCAATGCAGATAATCCACAATATCTGCTTTGAACTGCTTTATCTGAGTCCACACTGCCATATAATCCCATTCATTGTGGATTTTGTACAGCTGTGTGGAAGGGGCCTTGAAGAGACAAAGCCAGTGTCATATAGAAACTCCTACCATTGCAATAAATGGTTTTGATGGCATTAAGATCCTGTTTATTGTTTTCAACAATTCTTATTCATATGAATAACTTTATCCGGTATCTTTTTGCTACTTCCTTCATTTTTTTTCTTTGTTGTAACCCTTGGTCCTTTAATGACAAGCTTCTCATGTTAAACTACATATATTTTACCATGGATGTTTATTCAGTGTGAAGTTGGGAGATTCTTTGATCTATCTAGATTTTTATGAATAATACAGAGAAATATGTCAGTCTTGTATTTTGCCTTCCATATATACATGTAATAAAAATCAGAATTTATGTTCTATGTTTTATACTGCCTTAATAGTTTGAATTCAAACTGTGCAAAGTAACTATATAGAAAACGTGTGCTGCATCAGACCAAATCTCAATCTACTCTAATGTTTTAAAAAAATAATACTAAAATAAATAAAATACTTTGCTCCCTTTTGATGAGCAACCAGATATTTCTGGGAAGTCCACCAGCAGAATAATATGTGTCCAGTACCAATTTTGTTTCTAACATTTTATGTTTAGCAGTATGCTGCTTCCAATACACAAGGTGGTAAGTAACCAACAGGACTGGTAATAGTTATACATTTCTGTGACTTCTTGTGTCTATGTAGAGTTTGAATCTATTGGCTGTCTGCTCAGTTCCATT